TGACATGATGTGAATTGGAGCTATAGAAATAAACTGAATAGAATTGAAATTAAAGCTGCAGTTGGAACAAAGCCTTGAAGAAGCTGATTCAGCAGACTGCCAAACATGTTCAGGGAGGATTCAAAAGTTGAAATCAAATGAAAGAGGAGCAGAAATATCTGATGAATCTTTCATAAGCAGCTGGACAGAGTTCAGACTTTGTGTTTTAACTTTCCTACATGAGATTAAACCAAATGTTTCCTAAAAATCAGAAGAGTGAGAAAAAAAGTTGGGGGAATTTTCTATCACCTCAGTTGCACATGAACAACTTTAGAAAGATGATGATGTCCTAAGTTTTAAAGGGTCTTTTTTGTATAACATCACAGAAAGACCTAAAAGTCAGAAAAATAACCCCATGTTTAAAGGCTTTCTGTAGGAGGGACTGGCGCTCTTCACCAAACCTGTGATCCTGTCCATGTCCAGACCAAGCTGCTCCACTCCTCCCAGGACTGGGCCAAAACATTTAAGCCAAACTCAAACAGCTTAAAGGTTATTTTACTAAATTAACACAGTTCTGAGTTTGAAGAATGTAAGAAGAAAACAGTTTGTGTTATTTGGACTTTCCTGTGCCCTGGATGGTGTTCATTAGAGCAGACGAAGCTCTCTGGGATTTATCGTCTATCACGCTGAATAAAAAACTCCTTTAAACATCTTTAGGTTGGAAAAAAGGCCAAAATTAATCACAAAACATGAATGTAAAAGCACAGATAAATCACAAAAAATGAACTTTACTTTGATATATATTTTTACTTAATTCATTTGAAGCAAACCTCTTATTTTGATAGTTTTCTTTTATCTTATGTCAGATCAGTTTTTATACCCAGAGTCACTCATTTATTTCCGTATTCATTCTTCAATAGGAAGGAGCTGATCGGTTCAGACCCGGATCTGATTGGAAAACAGCGGCATTAGGGACAAACATGAGCTTACTTCCACACGGAGACGTAGATGATGATGAGCAGCAGCAGCGTGAGCGAAGACACACCGCAGCCCACGATCAGGGTCACGGACGGCAGCTGCAGCTTGTCCATGCTCTGAAAGCAAGAGGAGAAATCAAAGTGTTTAAGAACCTGGATTATAGCATCATCATCATCATCCATTCACCAATCATCATCATCATCCATTCACCCATCATCATCATCATCATCATCATCATCCATTCACCCATCATCATCATCATCATCATTATCATCATCATCATCATCAATCCATCAGCATGATCAATCCATCATCATCATCATACATTCACCCATCATCATCATCATACATTCACCCATCATCATCATCATCATCCATCCATCATCATCATCATCCATCCATCATCATCATCATCATCCATCCATCATCAT